TGGCCCTGCCTATACCTCTACTGCTTTTAAGAACTTTTGCTCTACTTTTGGGATCAAACATATTACAGGAATTCCATGCAACCCTCAAGGACAGGCCAGAGTAGATAGAGCTCAAACACTTAAAAACCAAATCCAGCATTTGCAGGAAGGAGAGCTTAAATATCACTCAGGAAGGAGAGCTTAAATATCACTCTCCACATATTTTACAGCATGCTTTGTTTGTTATAAATCATTTAAATTGTAATTCAGAAGGATACACACCCATGTATTTACATTTTCAGGGTCCTCACATTAAGCCTAAACCACTGGTAAAATGGAAAGATTTATTAACCAAGACCTGGAAAGGCCTAGACGTCTTACTCACCGTGGGCGAGGATCTGCTTGCGTCTTTCCACAGGTGCTGGCTCGCCGGTGTGGATTCCAGACGATTCATTCGCCCCATGACGGGCCTGCCGCCTCCTCCGCCTCACGCAGTGTCACCAGCTACTTGGAAGCCATAAGGGAAACAACTGACTCCTCTCCTGATGGATTCCGACAGGCTCCGTGTCCAGCCCCTCCGACTCATGCTCCAGTGTCTTATTCATCTCCTCCCCTCACGGGGGGAGCCAGTCCCTCCTTGGTTTCTCCTTTCCAGCGTCTGTCTCTTCAGCCAGGTCAGAGAATCTGGGCCGGGGCCTATTTGCCACCGCAGTGCCCTCTCCACCCGCACTGTCTTCGAGCTGACCTGGAGACAACTGAAGAACCTCAGCAACAAAGGAACGGCACCCACCTCTGAGGTTGTTTTTACTGCTCTGCTAACAGTTCTCATGTGCCAGGTATTAGTCTCAGGATTAGTTGCAGCTGAAACCTACTGGTCAGACATACCTGAACCTCCTGTTTTGCACCCTGTCACCTGGGAAACACCTGAAGTGCCGGTTTTTACAAATGATTCCTTCCTCCTGGGGGGCCACTTTATTAACCCTAAAAGTTCATAGAATGTTACCTACAGGGGTAATAGTTCCCTGCCTCCTATTTGCGGATCCCATCTTCACACACCACTTCCAGGGCCTTGTGTGTCACTGGGGAGTAGAACTCTGGTCAGATTCCCCTGTTACTAGAGCCAAGCAGAGACATCTTTGGATGTTAGCACTTCTAATTCCCTTGTTTCCAGATTTTAAATTTATTACTACTTCTACTTTACCTCCTGATCAAATTCCTGTGTGTGACCCTTATCCAGAAGCTGATGATAGCTGGTTTGCTGTCAAAAGGAAAACAGGATTTCCAAAACGGCATGATTGTGCCATTGTGGGAGCCACATCAGACAGAAAGGGAGTAAAGCATCCTTTATGGTACAGATTTGTATGTATATGATTATTCCATTACATCTCCCACTGACGCTTACTGAGTACAAGATTTAATTGGTCTGATGCTGATTTGCCCACTCCTGAACCTTTGGCCAGATGGTTTACCCCAGGATGGGTTTCTCCTATTTTGACCTTTTGGGCTCCAATGGTCCAGGAGTTCAAACATCTTTGTGGAGGCTCTTTACGGCTACCCAACCTGCTGGTCTAAAAAGACCCAAAAAAGAATACAGATACAGAGCCCTTCAAGCTTGGGTGTGCTCCCCTTTTGCTGTTCTATATACTGGTGATTTTGGCACATTAGAGATATTTGAAGATAATGGGGTCTTTGCTACTCATTGTAAAAATTGTGTTTTAATCAATTGTATTTATTCTCATTTGAATATAACTTCTTTTGTCATTGTTCAACAACCCCCTTATGTTATGTTGCCTTTAAAACTGGATACCCCTTGGTATGATGATATGGGACTACATGTCTTGCAGTTAATGTCAGATATTTTGCAAAGAAAAAGATTTGTTGCCTTTTTAATTTGAGGTATTGTAGCATTATTTGCTATTATAGGTTTCTTGACCACCTCTGCTATAGCTTTGGTCCAAGAAGTACATACTGCTGAACATGTTGACGAATTCACCAAAAATGTTACCATAGCCTTAATGACACAAGCAAAAATTGATCAAAAACTTGACACACGAGTTAGTGCCTTAGAAGAGGCAGTAGTGTGGATGGTTGATCAGATCCAGGTTCTACAAACTAGAATGCTGATTAGATGTCACTCGCAGTTTAAATGGCTCTGTGTCACTCCTTTAATTTACAATGAGTCAGAAGTCCCATGGGAAAAGGTTAAGAATCGTGTTTTGGGAGTATGGAATCATTAAGACATTTCTTTAGATTTAGCCTCTTTACGC